CTCTCCCTTGCACGGAGCCCGTTTACTTCGACTTCACCTTGAGTCTGACCATCAAACTCCAGGCTGGGTGTTCCCAGCCTCTGCTGCAGTGATTCTGCTCTTGGATCATGGAAAAAAGAGATCCTTTTAAAAAGCTTTTGGCTCTTCATTGCCTTCGGAGTAGGGAACCAACACTGAGTTTCAACTGTTGTCAGGCAGCTCTGTCCCACCACAGTGTATGACACCAGCATTGCCAAGCTCCCAAACCGACCTAGAACATCACTTCTCCAATACCAACTTGTTTCCTCAACATCCAAGAACATTTTGAACCCTACAGTAACATTCTCCTTCCAGGGTCTACTACCAACATCCTTATTAACTTTTTCCTTGCTCAGATGCCAGTATCAGGCATACCCAGATCGAAATGAATTCCTTCCTTGTCTGTGTTAAAGGACAGCCCTGTCACGGTAGTTAAACAGGAAGCCCTGTGTGGTGGGAGTCAGTAAACGAAGGTGACACACGCAGGCCTGGACGGCTCAGAGCTGCAGCCAGCTAAGAGAGGACAAGACAAACTCTGAGAAGCCCAAGCGAGTTGCGGGCAGGAATTGAGCATTGCTGAGCCTGCCATCCCTTGCTCTCAATTTCTATTACAAATTCTGCTTTAAAGTTAAATACTGTTACACCTCTGAAATAAAATTAATTTATAAAGCCAGAGGCACTGCTAGAGTCAGTCCCGTGACAGTGCCCAAATTACTATTTCTAATCAAGTTGAAGCTCAGCACATATGTACGTAGCATACATAACAGAGATGTTGAAATGACCTCAGAAACATAAATTTAAAGGCTTAGATCTGCATACTAATGAAAAGATGCCTCTACAGGCTTCTACACAGCTCAGTTTAAAAGAGATCAAAAAAAGGCAATTTATTGCAGGACAGAGTTTTGTTATCTAATTACACAAAGTATTAACATGATTAAAACATTTTGGTCATTTATGGATTTTTTTTCCAAGTTTAACCCTACCTCTTTTTGCTTTATAATAATTCTCTTGGGAGCAATTACTGAATTTCCATAGAAGTAATTTGGGCAGCATAAGAGTATGTAACCTCAGCCCTGCTCTCTCCATCATAATGAAGGTTTAGTCTAGAAATGTACTTTTTCCCTTCTCATTACTTAAAATCTGACACATGATCAATAACATAAAACTGCGAAAAAAAACTTCCTTATATGATAATTCTATTGATTTTCTTTTAAAAAAGTAATTATTAAAAAAAAATAAAAAATAATTAAACTGTTAAGACCAAATTCATCAATACAATCTGCCTCCTTTGTTCCCCTTCTCAAGTAGGACAAATCAATCAGGGTCTCCTGGCCAGTAAAACTAGTTTTAAAGCTATTGCACCACCCTGACAACAGATTGAACAGCCTTTTTATACCTTGTTGTTCTCTCCTTGCTCTCCTATCCACCTGCACACATCCTCAGACTTCCAAATTCTGTCTTACTCATGAATCTTGCATTGCACATTGCAGACTTCTTTTCTGATTGCTCCCTCAATTTGCTCATCCTTCCTACACTATCAGATTCCTTGACAAACTACTTGATGTCATTTCAGAAAAGACGTTCTGTATTTTTCACGGATAACAAGAGATTGAATGCCAGATTGTGTTAAATGCCAGATTCAACTTTGACATTGGAAGCATGGCTAAAAAATTAGCACCTCTGCTCAGACTCTGCCTCAACAACAGGCCTTCCACTACCAACGAGTCCTCTGTGACCCTATCAGGTGGTCTGGTGGACTGGAAAATGGGAAAGAAAAACCTCCTGGGCTTCCTCTGGCCACCATGCTGTTTCTTGGTAGGGCTGGCTGGCTTTGATATGAAAATTTTGTCTCATATTCCAATTCCCCTAAGGCTTGCGCCACAGTTCTAACAAAACCTTTCCTCACAAGTGCTTGCATGTACCTCCATTCCCTTTCAATCAATAAGCCCCAGGAAGAGATGCCTTCTGGTTTTACATCTCAAGCTCCTAGAAACCAAGGGAAGAAGTGGATTCCAAACCTAGGAGCGGGAAGTGGATTCAGTTCCAGGGATCCTCCCAAGCAGCTGACAACTCGTGTAGCCAGTGAGAGCCACTTCTGCACCCAAGTGGATGTAGCAAGTGCAGCAAGGTGTATATTCAGTGGAAAAATTAGCTGGCAAACCTGGCAGTACAGGACTGCTGACTGGGACAGGGACTCACTGTTGTGGGCAGCCGGAGAAGGAATTCTTTACACTTTCTTGATAAAGGACATGTAAAATATTAATGAACTGGATTATACTCAAGGGATGCTGTCACATCTGTAAAGGTCCCAGATGGTACTGTAATTATCCACCTGCGACAACTGAGAAAAAGCCTTCAAATACTTAAATTGATAAAACTCAAAATGTTCTGCAGAATGCACTCTTTTCATGCAATGACACATTGAAAACATTAGCAGGGGGTTATGTTGAAGAAATGGCTAAATGCTGTGGAAGAACTACCGAATATGAAACAATTCCAAGCCTAAATTGGACACACTGAATGGTATGGGGGGCACAGCAGCCCCAGCAGATCCATTACACTCCTCTCTCAGCAGAATCACAAGTATTCCTTTCCAGAAACATTCACCCTCAACATTCCTAAGATCTATTGGTGTTTGCATGTTGCAGTTTTCCTGAGTGATCAGTCATCAGTGTGTGCCTGCATTTGATAATGTGATTTCAAGTCAAAAGTAAATTACACATAATTTATAAACCTCCCTGTAAAACAATGCTCGTCTCGAAGTGCTTCTAGCTGTTCAAGAGACATGCAATTTGATGGCTCAAGAAATGACTTTCTATAAATTGTTTTATTTCAAAAATAACTTTCTGTATGTATTTCAAAGGCTTATTTACAGTAAGTACAATCATTACCTCTGCAATTAGGTACAGAAGCAGACAGCCAGTTCAGCACAAACGTGTAGCTTTCAGAGTACCATTATTTTAAGCTGCTTACATAGTTCCAAAACCCAAGTTGTTCTAGCTGATATGGCTCTAGTATTTGTAATTGGAACAACAAAGAATGTGTTACAGACTCAAAAAAACATGAAAAATAATCATTTCTGTGTGTTCATACTTAATGAGCCTTCCTTCCAAAAGTTTACACTGTACTTGGCACTGTAACACATGAACATCTAACAAAGACTTCCATCAAAAAAAACAAACAGATTCTCTTGGTCAGGCATAAACTGATATATTAAACTCTGTAAAAGCATTTAATGTTTATTATACTTAAAAAAAATTATTAGCATGTCTTGGCTGCCTTTCAAGTGCCAAATTCACACTCCAGTGCATGCATCCCTCTCCCATTAAAAACCATGGGAGATGCATGACACATGGACTGCAGGGTATGTTGACTAAAAAAATAAAATAAAAAGAAAAACCAGATTTTGGTAGAGGGTACACAGTCAGCACCAGAGCCAGGAGTGGAACTCGGGAACCCTGATACCTTCCCCACGTTCTCTGATAACATCTGCCGTGAGGGAGCGGAGCAGACAGGGAGAGAGCTAAGGACACTGATCAGCAAGAAGATCAGGGATTAGGAAGCACTGACATTATGGTGGACCAAAAAGGGGCAACATAGGAAGATAATAAGAAAACTGGCAGTAGCTGAGGATAAAAGCAGAGAGGAAAAAAATGATAAGAAGCAAAAACAAGCATAAATAACAGGAGAAGCACTAATTAGAGGCATTTTGTTTTCAAGTGTTAAATAAAAAGTTGTCAAAATACCTTCAGTATTCATCATATCTGAACATCATATTTGCCCCTAGCAAGTATATGTACCTCTGCATACAATGGCTTGGGGAGTAGGCTGCTGTTGAGAGATGACCCAGCTCTACTCCTAATCCATTCCAGCCACTAATTATATTTGCAGCTTCCTCAAAAATATTATCACAGAGCATTAGTTACTGACTGCACTTGGCACAAACCAAAAGCTGTGATCGTGCCCGCAGGGTTCCGGGAAGGAAAATTGCTCCACAAAAGCCGGATAAAGACCTCCAGCTCACCACACTGCAAGCTCTTCAGAAATGCCATGCTGAAACTATTGGCAGCTAAGGGAAAAGTGGAAAGGTGCTGGGTGTTTGGCCCTTCTGGGACAACTGAGATGTAGGCAACACCCAGATAATCCCCAGGGAAGCCCAGCGTAGCCAGCAGGGCCCTGCTTCCCAGGGGAGAGGCAGGCTCAGAGCAGGAGACCACAATGGAGATTTGGGACAAAATGAAGGGATGTGGAAGGCGGTGAGAATGGCTGTGTCCAACCCTCCTGAGCTCTATCAGTCCCTTCTACAATCGCCAAGCCCTCCAATATGCTGGAAAACCAGATGAGGCTTTTTTACTCCTGCTGTTGGACTATTGGGTGCCAGCTCCAACAAGGCCCAAACACATGCTCACCCTCAGAATGCCTCAAATCTTCTCTACACAGACTTCAGTTAAACCCACCCCCTCCGGGACCCATCTTCCTGACTGCCAAATCCCTTCCTTCCAAAGCCCTGCAGAAATGAAAGCTGCCTGGTGCAGCTTTGTCCTCCAAAAATAGCATTTCTCAAAGTTTCACTTTTAAAATAGGACCATTGTGTAACTATGGCTAAAGAGTGAACAACAAGGCTCAGGCTCTGGCTCTCAGCAGCAGCACCCACACGTGTAGAGGGACTAGGCTCTGCTGGTGGCATCAATAAAACTCATCTCTCCAAGGGCACCGAAACAGGCAGATCCACACAGCAGGGTGACAAATTCAGCCCCCACAGCAGCTCAGCACCAGTCCTAACCAAACCAGAGTGGTCGCACATACAAAGGGTTGCTTTGCTTTTCAGTCCTCATTTCCTGAGCTATTTCCATACCCCATCTCAGCCCCACAGTCTCAATGCAGCCACCAACAGCCCGCAGCACCCACAGCCTGACAACTCAGTCAGTCAGAGGGGAGCTGCGTTCCCGGAGGGCTGCGTCTCCCGAGGAGGGTGCGAGAGGCGAGGAGGGGTGTCACGAGCTGCGGCCACAGATCTGCTCAATGTGGTCAAGCTCTTTGGGGCAGTCAGCAGACAAGACGAGTGGCGCATCCTCCGTTATCACAACGTCATCCTCAATGCGCACGCCGATGCCACGGAACCTCTCCGGGGCGCTTACATCATCCTCAGGGATGTAGATGCCTGAAAGAAGGGGAGGAATTAAAGCCCTCACAGCATCTTACAGCAACACCTCTCCCTTACTGCATGAGAGCAGGGTTGGATTTTCAGCAACCTAAGAGACACTGACCCAGGGAAAGGTTAACAGGGAAAGCTGCCCTCTCTCCCTACAATCATGGCAGTTGGTGCACAAAAAGACTCTCGGAGTGTACAGAACTAGCATGTTAATAAAAACTATCACAATTGCAGCTGGCCTTCCTGCACTTCTTGCTCTCAGTGCTGTCTTCACAAAGATGATTTTAACAATTATCAGAATAGAGGAGAGAAGATCCAAGGATTAAATATCAGCATCCAGCTGACAGCTCCAAAGCAAGTGACAAGCAAAAAGAAAGATTCATCGTGAAAGGCCAAATTTGCAAAGAGAAGTTGTTAATGCCTATAATTGGAGACTGCAGCACTCAGCAGAGACTTACACTACCAGTGACTGCTAGCAATTTAGTCACAGTAATGCAGATCAGAGCACAAGTGAATTTACTTTGCTTCTCTGCACTGCAGTTGGCCTGTGCTCCTGCGGGTCAAGGGCAGGCAGTGAGTTGTGTATGTCAGTCTGCTTTCTGTGGTACTGACGCCTTTCGAGAGCTCATTCTCAAAATTTGTAACCTTGGCTGTATGTGGGTGGGAAATAATGTTTTCTAATACTGTAATGCATTTGGGAAGGAGATACCTCAAGGCTTTTTTAATGCTATAATCATTTTTGATCTCATAAGAAAGGACTTGAATGCTTTGATCTCAGGACCAGCCAACGACTCAAAGAGACACTGCTACTGTTAGCATTGCATGTTTTCAGTCCAGCTCTGAGTGCTTATCTTTTTACCTGGTTCAATGGTGATCACCATGCCTGGCTGCAGGGGGAGCGATCGGGACATATCTGGGGTATCGTGTACATCCATGCCCAAGTAATGGCCCACGTGGTGTGGACAATACTTTTGAATGGCCTGGCAAGAGATAAAACAAGTCACTGAGGTAAAGTTAGGCACCTATTATTCCAGTACAGAAGAAACAGAGGAATATACTTAGCAGTCTCCCTGTCATTACTACAAGGTCACCAGGAGCTGCCTTCCATTTACCAGAACTAAAGGGCCCTGACGACCAACCATACCACCTCCCTCTTCTGAGTCAATCACAGATTAACTTCCCCCTTCCTGAAAAGAACAGCTCAAGCACATCAGTCCCTCAACATGACAGGCAAGGGTTCAGCTTTTTGCTCAGTGAGCTTTGCCGCCTCAGTCTTCTCCATCCCTTAAACATCTCAGCCTCACATTGTTCCCATCAGCAGTGCGTGACAAAGGGCAGCAGCTGACACAGCTGCTATGTCATGTGGCCAAGAGGTGTCTTGTCATTCTAGAGAGGAAGCTGTGTTGATTTTACTCAGAAGCTGCAGAATTTGAATCCACTGACTCCCCTGCACCATCCTAATCCCCTCTCATTGGAAAGGAGCAGCTTGTCAGCAGTAGTCACAGAGCTAATCCCTCCCTCTGCCGCCAGGTCCCCACGTTCGCTCGCACGTTTGCCGTGAGTGGGACCACAGCAACTTCTCTAACTGTGCGCTAGCACTGGTTTATTTGCAGGCTCAGCTTTGAGGCAGACCAGTTCGCCAATCTGTTCAGCAAGTAGCTCTGTGAATCCCAAGGCCGGCACAAAGCAGCGCAGAAGAGGCAGCAGGTAGAAAGACAGAAGACAAGGCTGTACTTTTTGGTGACAGGGCAGATTTACGCCATGCTAAACAGATTGCACAGCTAGGACTGAGTGCCTACAATCAGCCCAGGACCTGGACTGTTGCATTAGTGGCAGCTTCCCTACATGCCTCCCTTCAGGCTGTCTCTATTTTGAAGCTGTATCTACAATAATAAGTAGGACACGCTAATGGGAATGGATCTGCAGAGCCAAACAGGAGGTTCTGAAGGATCAGAATCCTCACTCCATGCAGGACCTGTGGGGTTACTCAGACCAGTTTGTGGACTGAATGCCCACTAGGTGTTGGAACACAACTTCCAGTTTAGCTTCACCTATGAGAAATCTAGCTCATGTGCTGAGCCCAGTCCACAGCACAAATTAAAGCACAGTAAATGTGGACAACTAGAAAATTCACTTTACAGCAAACTCCTGATACAAAGTAAAACCCTAATGTTACCTAAAGAAAGAGGCAACAGTCAGTCCCAGTGAGGAAAACTTGAGTAAAAAAAGCTTCAAGTACCTTGAAGAAGTGGCTCTCATTGATGCTGCCCTTGAGGATACCCAGTTCTTTCAGTTTCTGTCCAACAAGGCTCAGCATGAGGCTGTAGATATTCTCTAGAGTGACACCTGGGGAGCAGAGGCTCAGGCAAGACTTTTGGATATCCAGGACAGCCTGGTATAGTTCTGCTTGGGGTTTAGTGAATCTGAAAAGCAGCAAGAAGAGGAACAAAGGGCATTTTTCACAATTAATTCCTCTACCCAGAAGCTGTTTTGGCAACAGACTCAGTTTGATGCAAAAAGAGGGAAAGAAAACAAAACAACTGGCTCATTATATGAAAAGCCAGGGATGCCAGGTAATACAGGAGTTAAACATGCCCTTCCATACACTGGGTAGAGGCAGGATTACTTGGCTGACATCCTAACCCTGAAGCAGAGCAAGACAAACCTACCACTGGAAAAAGGATGCACTTGAGCAAAAACACTGGCATCAAACACACAACCATAAGGACGCTATACCAGCTTATTCACCGCTGCCACAGTCACGTAGGCCAGCTGAACTCCTGCTCCCTTACACAAAACCAGAGCTAGCAACAGCTGAATGAAGACTCACAAGAGCCCTCTCTACACTTTAAGCATACCTCAAAAGCTTAAAATAGAAATAATCACACACACTCATGCAGTAATTAACGAGGCAGTAGGGAATATAGCTTCTCCTGCTCAAAGACTGGTTTATATAATTTGATTACTTTGAAGAACCACAGATTGGGACATATTAAAACTATTCACACACACAGTTTACACATGCTCACTCTTGATATGAAATCACCAATCATTTAAGAGCTTCTCAGTCCTTGAAGACCCCCTTGTGCCAGCCTACCTTCCGTTGATGGGCCACGTACGCGTGATGTCACTTACGTAGCATGAAGACTCACATCCACCATCTAGCAAGACCAGCTCACCATCCTGGAGAAGAACAGGAAAAAAAAACCCTGAGGGTAAGAGCAGCTACCAAGTTGATTTCTCTGTCTGTCAACAGGCAAGATTATATATTTATATTTGCAAAGAAACTGCAGAGACACGTATTTGTTTTGCAGAGCATCACTTAAGGTGCAACTGTTTAATACAGTGTTTCAACAGACTGTTAAACAGGCCCCTCGAGTGGATTGTTAATTGGATTGTTTCTATGCAAGGCAGTCTACGACTATTTTGATTATCTAGAAAGTCTGAACTCTAGTACGCTGACATTCAAACATTTTTTACTGAAAAAACAGAAAGGTAAAAAAAAAGAAAAAGAAAAACAGAAAAGATGATGTTTCCCTTGAGCTGCTCAGAGCTCTGAAACAGTAGCCTCTTTCATTCATGCCTGGATCTCCTACTCCAAAAGCTACACCCGAGACCCCCATACTCCTTTATCAGAGTAGAGGAGGCCTGAAGGTCGCTTTGCCTCAGCTCTTGAGAGAAGATTTGGCACCTCGGCAGGACCAAGCAGAGTTGGAGCTCTACAACCACACCAATACTCAACACCTTTGATATCATGCACATTTAGAAACACAATACACCCACTGCCACAGGAAATCTGGGGAGAAATGTCTAAGAAAGACCTTCCAAATCAGGTACTTTGTTATGCTAGTTGACAACAAAATCTGTAGGAGGCAGCACACAAAGGAAAAAAAAAAAAAAAAAAGCAAGAGTCAAGTTTGTGGGTTTAACCTCCTACCTACCAGTTTCTGAAAAAATATTAAGAGTGATTTAGTGCAACTTTAATGGAAGCAACTGGAGATACAAGAGCATGCTTGACCTTGGACAAGAGGACAACAATGAGGTTTCTTTCTGCCAAAAGCAGCCTGTTGTATCTTTTGTACAAGCGTCTGTGCAGCTCATTTCAAGGTCTGTTAGCAAGCCAGCATCAAGAAAACACAATGCTAGCGGGAAGGCTTCACCCTGCATTGACACAGGGGAAAAAAATACACTCCACTGAAAAGCTAATCATGAATTCAGCAGCACCCTAACACTGCTCCTCAAAATTTTTAGAGATTTTTGTCAGGAAAGCTGAACATGGATTCAAATCAGTAATACAGACTTCTGAAAATAAGGCAGATATGTTAACTTACCTGCCACCCAATCTGCCTCTCTCAACAATTAATACTGTTCCTTTCCCTCCTTGCTCTGCTAGGCTGCATGAAGCCTGAAGGCTTTTCAGCTTAGCCAGAGTAGGAACCGTGTTACTGGACAGTGTAGGGCTTACCTTGATGAGCTGGTTGTTCTTCACATAGTGCAAAGTGTTGGATCTATTGCCACCAGCAACAACAGGAGGGTAGGCCAAGATGTCGGCACCACGAGCCCGGCACTCGAATTCAAACTGAAACAACAGTTCAGAGAGGAGGAATTGAGGTGAGGTGACGGGCTGCCCTGAGGCTACTACAGCTCATGCCCTACAGCCATCACCTTAATTTTTACAACACAAAGCAAAACTGGAAGCAGGTTCATTACATGAAAGCAGCCAAATGAATTTCCAAGAACACTGATGGAAAACAAGGTGAAACTGCCTGCTTTTCAGAAGGGCCTTTTAAACCCTCAACCTGTCCCATGGAAGCTCTTTCTGGTACAAGCTGGTAAACACTGTATCAAGTGTTCATTGCGTTCTAATACATTTGTGTCATTAATTGTGCTTAAAATAATGCTCTCAGTCCCCACACATCTTTGCAAACTTTCAAAGATTCTAAGTGGCAGCACAGTATCAGCTGCAGGTTTTCTGTTGTTGTTTTGTTTAAAATTATAAAGTGCTAGCATGTAGATACTAATAGATACTAAATCGGTATCTATTTTTACGACCCTGACCAACTAGCAGTAAAGTTTAAAGTATGCCTTACCTTGATAGCAAGGAAAAAAAAAAAAAAGAGCTAATTTCCCCTTCTCTGGAGATATTCAAAACCCGCTTGGACACAATCCTGTGCCCCTATGTGTGCAGGGGAGTTGGACTAGATGATCTCCAAAGGTCTCTTCCAACCTTAATGATTCTACGATTCTATGATTCTAATGAAAGCAAATCTGTCTTGCCACTATGCCACTATACTAAAGTGGTAACAACAACCCAAGATATTTACATTCCTCGTTAGTGAAATAGACGAAAGCATGAAAATGAATAAACTTACACCTCTTAAATCTTTTCTATATTTAGCAAAATCATATGAGAGAGAACACCCAGAATGCCCATGTTTACTGAAGATTCCAATCACAACTTGGAATGAAAATTTGACAAGTAAAATATATTTTAATTAAAATCAATCTCTTTACAGGTTAGTACTGCCACCCATGTGAGCACAGGCCCATCTGTGTCAGAACAGAGGGTCGAGTCCTGCTGATGTCATTGAAACAGTCACCTCCCTGCAATTCCTCACAAAATTCCCTACAGAATGTGCTGGCCAACAAAAGTTTGTCCTCATTTTGTAACTGAGAGATGTCTAGACATATTCCAATAAATACATTCTGCTTCTGAATCTACTAAGAAGCTAGAGAGAGAAGCAGGCGTTACAACTAATTTAAATTAATTCTGTATAATAAAACTGCATTATATAATAAGTTAAAAACTGTATCTCTGGCTGTCTACCAAGATCTCTATTTCTATATAGTAGAAAATCACAGCTGTAGCAGGTGAACTAACCAAGCACTACATCCCTGTCACTATTTTAACAACACTTTCTACTTTTGTACAAAGAATGTTTTTGCCTTGCATATCTAAGTCATGTACAGTGACAGGAAGAGACAAATTTATTGTTTTTAATGGAAACCTTGCTTTTTCTTCTAATTCTTCTACACTTCCAGCTTTTTTTTTTTCTGTCATCTTTATCTCAGTGATAGCTTTTAGAATAGATAGTAGAAAACAGGCTGCGTTTTATTTAAACAGATAACAGTTTCATACACTTTACAAGAATCAACTTTTCCGTAACATTGTATTAGGCAAACAGTAGATAAATGCACTGTAATGATAATTCACCATTTTTGTCAATTCTTAACAATGGTTAATTCTATCATCTACAGCAAGTTACACTTACTGCAGATATAAATAAACTCCTTGCATGCCCAAATATACAAAGATCCAAACACTCCCTGGATTCTTGAAAACTCTACTGAAAGCTTAAACGCAATTCAGGATTTTCCGTTTGGCGGCTGATACTCCTCCAGAGCTCTCACTCTGCTTAGGTAAGGCATACCCAAATATTGCCCCTGCAACGGACTCCCAGCTCACGCAAACACAGGTGTGGTGAATTTCTCTTTCCAGCATTTTTGAAATTAGCCATTTTTGTCTCTCTCTGCCACTTCTTGTCTCCTCTCCTCCTCATTCTTCCCCCCAACATGTTCTCTCTTCCCCTTTTCTCTCAGATCGCTACATTCTTTGACTAAGTTGTATACTCTCTTACTCCAAGCCTTCACTTAGTTTCCTGCTACCAGTTATGGGATTACCTGCTGCAACACTCAGAGTTTTGTGAGACAATGAGGGGTGAAAAAGCAGGATTACTTTTCGGTTACTCTCTTTCTTTTTTTCCTATATGTTCCTTTAAATGCACAATAACCTTTCCTGGACCTTTGGCTTCATCTATATTGCTCGTTGGAGGAAAAGGTAACAAAAAAAGTCTCCAGGAAAGGCATTAGATCTTCAGGGGCAGAACACTGAAATTCATAACCAGCCCCTACGTGAGAGTAAGAGTTTAATACAGGTATTAACTCCAGGGGTAGCGAAATGTTTTTTATTTATTTATCTTTTTATTACTAAAAGTCAGGATCTGCTGACATTCCTAAGCTTACGGTAAAAAATCTCCTGCAACATTCACTTAATTCAAAGCAGCTGCCCAAACAAGGCTGCAGTTCTTGGCTGAGGAGTGCTGGGGACATGTCCAAGGAACCACAAGAATTGGGTGAAGGAGAAATGTGCTACAGTGGCAGACACATTATGGGATATCTGACACTCTTAGCTTTCTGGAAAGAGAAACAGCATCCAAATCTTCAGTCTCAATTCCAACCACAAAATACTCACCTTTGCATATAGAAAGGCTTCATCCACTGGGGATTTGCTGGCAAACATTGTCTCTATGAAAGCCTAAAAAAAAAAAGAAAAAGGAAAAAAAAAAGCCTTTCAGTTAGTGTAAGAGCTGAATTTGAGAGAAAGAGCTTAAAAACAAACAAACAAACAAAAATCTTCTTCATTCTTTTGAGTAAACCCTAAATCAGTTGTCTCAGAGCACAGGAATCAGAGGAAACTGAAAATACACTGTGTTGTAAAGACCAGAACCAACAAAGCTCTATGAAACTTTAGGGTCTAACTGACTCCAATTCTTGAAGAAAACAATTAGATAACTGAGGCTGATTCCACGGATTAGCGTTTTACAAATTCTCTCACCTGGGAAATCTCTTTTGTCTAACAGGAGCATACTGTGCAGCTTGTCCTTCACAGAAGCACTATATGTGTCTCTCTGTGCTGCTTGGCTATTTTAATATTTAAAAAACGTAATCGCCTTTGAGATTACTTGAGAGTTGAGTTTTTTTTTTTGAATTGGCCAGTAAGTTCAAAAAGTACTTGAGAAGGGATGAGGAACTGACAAATATGCAGACAGCATGTTTACAAAAATACACTTTCCTTGAAAACATCTGGATAAATGGGGGAGAAAACAGCATGCAAGAGGAAAGGGGAAGCTAGGGAAGGAGTACAAGAAAACACCCCTGTTCCTGAACAGACACTGTTCATAAGCAAAGTCAACTTGCTTGGCTTTGACCAAGCCAAGTAAGCTAAGTACTTGGCAAAGCCAAGTAGCTTTGCCAGCTACTGACTTGGTTTGGCTGGAAATATGATAAGTAACACCTGGTAGTCCATTTACTCATCTTGCTGCTTCTTTTCATGTGGAGGAAGCTGGGACTGGCTAATTTTTGCCAGCCAGCAGCTAAGTAACTAACAGACTACCCCAAAGCTACTGCTCCAGTTTAGCCCACCCTATTACAACCATCCCCTTGACTGAGGGAACGCACTGACTCACTAGACAAGCACATGACCCCATACCTCTGCTGTCACCTGCCCTGCAAGCTTCATCCTTTCAATCTCTGCAGGAGATTTGATCAGCCGAAGGTTCTGCACTAGGCGTCGGATGCCCTGGACGTGGTTCTGGCTCCGAGCTTTTATCTCGGCCAAGGGCTGCAGGTAGTCAGAGTGTAGCTGTGCATGCACTGGCTTGGTCAGGTCATACCAAATCATGTTTGACTCACCTGCAAGACAAAAACAAAGTTGACACATACAAAGATAAAAGCAGAAATCTCCTGATACTGAACAGACTCACTCCTCCTAAACTAGATCAGTTGCTGCTACATTTGACAAATTCTTCTGAATCTGCAGTGTGGTTGCATACCAGACTACCTGTTGTCCCTATCACGGGATATTAATTATCCCTTCAAAACCTGGAAGATCAGTAATGCATCTTTACTTGCATGCAAATACTGTGTTTTTTTTAAATCACCATCACTGAGCTTCAATAGATAGGTTTGGTTTGTGTATCATGTAGAAAGCAGAACTTGTGTAAGACAGGCCAAGTGTTGCATTGCAGTGTTGCATGTTCCGAATCCCTCCCTGGCCTGCCCTCCCAGACGCAAGGCTATTTACCTTTCACACATAACAAACCCCCCATGCAAAGTGGGGCATTCTCAGTTATGCTTCAGAGCATTTGGGGGGATGAACTGTTATTTTCAGCCATTCAGACAAGATTAACTCACAAATGTATTTACCTACCTTGAAGTCTATTTAGAACAGCAGGGTTAGTACCGACATTTTCCCCCACAAAAGGGTCGTTAATGAGAATGAGTAGAAGAGCCCAGCTGAATCACAGCAAAGGTCTTTTTTTCTTTGTGACAGTAGCCATTATCAGATGCTCACAAAAAGTCTATAAAAATAGACTTCATGCCCCTTAGCAATCCTCCCTCACTTACAGATTTCTTTTCAAGGCTGCATCATCACGATTAACTGCTCTTCCCGGCTCTCTTCCTTGTGGTACTAACAGCTTTTAACTCCATTTACATTTTTTGACATTCCATACATCATGCGTGTTCCGCAACTTAAAATATAATTTAAAAGTGATTCATTTCATTTATTTTAAACCAGCCCCCTTATAATTTTATTCTGTATTCCCTTTGTTTATAAACTATGAAAAAGTGATTAATCATTCCTACTAATTTCCTCTATGCCTTTCATAATCATATACGTATCTCTCATACCTCACCATTTATTTTGTCAAACTTCTGGTTACCATGTATCCTCTCACAAAGCAGCTTTTCTGTAATTTCAGCATGCTTGTTGCCTTTTCTGTCTGTGCCTTTTCTATTTTCAATATATCTTTTGGTTATTAAAAAGTGAGGCAAAAGAAAACCAAAAAGCCAAAACAAACAAACAAAAAAAAAAACGGAATCAGGCATGGTATTTAAGACTGCAGCATTTACTCTATTTATCTGTGTAACTCCCCAAGCACTTGCCCATTTAACATTATTGCCAACTTTCAGGTAATAAATTATAATATTAATTCAATAACGCCTTTAAGTAATCTTCATGTTTCAGGGAGTAAATCAGTATTTGGCTAACAAGGGCGAGAAGACTAACTTCCCTGTGTGGGTCATTATCAAGTTTATTTTGAAGTTCTTGCAAGTTTTCTGTGCTTCATCTGGTTCTGGCTCTGTGAGCAAAAAAAAAAGAGATACAGCAAAAACAGTAACAAGGTTCACCAACTTCTCATGTTCATTCTGCTGCTTAAATTTCAGATGTGCACAGTGGCACATGCATGAGCACATAGGGAATGCAGAGTAGGAAAAAAATCCTAAGATATTCAAGCATACTTTTCCATTGGTACCCCTCATGAAGCTAAAGTGGTTCTTGAATAAAAATGAAACACAACAGTGTTCAGTATATTCAAGGCAACTTTGGGAAAAGTAAGAGAGGAAATAGTTTAACATGTGATCTTTCATAGAAGAATATGATGTATGCAGCACCTAGGTAATAGGTCGTGTTTGACAGCCAGAATCTGTGGGAGAAACAGTTGTTATCGCATCGCTGCGTTTCTAAGTAAAAGTAACGCGCAGGAAAGGCACTAGACTAACAAGACTTTCCACCAACACACCAAATACAGGACAGGAGTAGCAGCACAAACCTGTAACCTGCACAGATTACCTCTAAATTAACAATTATTCTCATTAAGATTGTGTGGGGTAGAAGACGGGGAATTACTACTGGGCAGTTTAAGGTGCCTAAGTCCGGATCCTTCCTACAGTTGGTCAGTTGGCCTCTCATCAGGGCAATTCAGAGCACCTAAGTAAGATCCTCCTTCCCTTCACTGATATCTCAAATATAGGCTCCTAAACCAGGCATTTAAGTTAAGATACCTATAGCTTGGTAGCACAATTGTTTCCCAGAGCTTTAACATGCTTGTCAGAGGAAAAGGAAACCCACCTCTGAGGTCAAAAAGCAAAAGCATAAAGGAGAAAACTTCCAGGTGCCTGTGTCATCCTGTGCCACTCCTTGGCACCTCCCCAGGCTCATTTCCAGGTTTGAGCTGGAGTCACAGGCCATTTCTCAAACTCTAATAGACCCTACACCCCATTCCTTGTCTCATTCCCTCCCCTGGTTTCTGTTACCTTTCAGTTTGGTTACCCAGTGCCTGAACTCCTCCACAGGGTAAGCTTCATCCACTCCTGTGAGAGCAACTGCCCCATCCGGGCCTGACCGGGGCCCGTCCCACAGCTCCCGGCTCGGATCTCTGCGGGGCACGAAGAGGATGGCCTTGTGGGAGGGCAGTGCTTTGCCGGGGAGGCTCTGCAGCACGAGGATGCTGTCAGGCTCCTGGAAGCCGCACAGGTACAGAAAGTTAGTGTCCTGGTGGAAAACGTAGGGGATATCGTTGCTCATGTAGTACGTAGGATTGGAGAGCAGAATCACGGTGTGGTCCAGCCCATCCTGGCCGTGCGACTCCTTCTGGATCAGTGCCATCAGTTTGTGCCGGCGAAGAGCATATTCCACCTGGGACAATCCTGGAGTTACCTCCCCTATGGATACAGATACCCAATCAGAGAGAGAAATTCAATGCACTCATGTTATTTTACTAACCTCACACCTGATTGCTGACTGTTCCCTAGTGTCTTTCATACACATGGCTCAATTATGTCCCTCATTAACTTCATTTTTGCTCTCTCATGCACTTCCTCGGCTTGCACCCTTATATATATCCTCACTCAATTTGCTCCTTCTGGCATGCAAAGGAAGAAATTCTATTTTAAATCAATCCAATCTTTCTGCTTTAGATTTCTGGGCAAAAGCAGAAACCACAAACCAAACAGGCACATTTAAACAAATATCCCAAGCACTGAGGGAATAAAATTCTGGCATGTATGAAAGAAAGGTATGGGGGGAAAAAAAGCAGGGGGAAGGGGCTAGGCAAACTGAACTTTGATTATGATGAAAAATGGTGGGGTTTTTTAATGGCATCTGGACATTGAACAGAAGATTACCTCTGCAGGTTTAGCATTAATTTCATCAGATAAAGCTGGAATGTCTCTGCAAATAGACACTAAGCCAACTCATAAAGTAGCTAGTTCTAAAGTATGAGGGGTGGATTGAGTGTTACAAATACCGTGGCAGATCACTCAGTCACACACAGAGGTTGTCCTTGCTCAGACTAACCAGTCCTGGGATTCCAGGCAGGAAGAAATCACAACTTCCAGGCTGGTGTCACTCTGATCAAGAGAAGGAATCTTCTCTAGGGCAGATTTAGCTGCTCTCAATAAGAGTTTTCAATTAGGAGTTTTCTGAACGTAAATACTGTATTTTCTAAGGAGTCCATCTAAACAAATACTCTTAGTATGGCTTCTATTGCTCCTGCCACAAAAAGGTGCAGAGATCAGGAAGCTAACAGGAACTGCACTGAAGGCAAAAGAAGAGCCAACTACAACCTGAGTATGTACTTTAAAATATAATCACACTTCATCTAAACTATGATCTAAATGAATGCCGTAATCTGTACTGTGCCTAATATCCTATTTTGATATAATTGCTTTTTTATACTGCTAACTTCTACTTTCACAATCTTTTCTTCCTATTTAGCATGTTTAGACAGGAACAATTCTAGAATTAAATTTGAAATTTTATTTGTACTGTAAGCAGATTCTTTAAATAACTGCTTTCTAAATTAAAATATTGAATGGGAGGGTGTTCTATTCAGATTTTTTCTCTCACAAAAGAGAATTAAAGAAAAAAAGTTTATCTAAAAAATTGTTGTATTTGCTTTAAATTCTACATCTTTTCAGCAACATACCTATTCAGCAACAGGACATATTTGGCTTAAGAGTATTTGTTTTAAACTTTTGGTTTAGAAATTACATAAAACTTAGAAATTGCTTCATGGCAGTTCTGCCATAGCACACTGCAAATGTCCTGCGCTCCACTGAATTCCAGTCCCATTTCTATCTACCGCAAACAGTCCGGTCATGTTTAGAAGTTGTAATAGAGTGAAATATGGGACTCTCATTTGCCTTCCAACTCTGAGACATGTAAACTCTCTTTGCCTTAAGGGCAGTTTCTTTTTTCTAACAGTAATTGTGGTAAGACAATGCCTTACTGTTTTAAAGAAAACAGCTCTTGGCTATTAAATAGAAAATTACTAGCTAGAATTAATTCCACTATTTCAGTTGTGAGTAGATTTTAAATACTAGCCTCATCTACCATGACACTTGCCTAGTGCAACAGGATCTAATATTGAAGTTAGCCAAGGTTTGAGCAGAATAGCAGTTCTAACAACTTTTTGAGGTTCCTTCTGACTTGAATTATGCTACAATATATAAACACACATATGTATATAGAGAGAGATATATGCATGTGTGTCTGCATGCATGCACACACACACATCTATTCTCTCTGTATATGTAACTGCAGAAAAAAAACAGATTTTTTTTTCTAGACTAATTCTTGCAAATATTTTTTATTTATTTATTTATATTAGATCACTGTTACCGCTCCATTTTTTTTTCTGAATTGCACCTTTCTAACTCACAAGATGTACATGAAGCTCTCTGTAGTTCACCTTACACAGAAGAATCTTCCCTAACATAAATCATCCTATACTTGCAGGGCAATTAGTTTAAAAGATGTCACTGCCCCAAAATATCCGCAGTACTTTAACCAGTGACACAGAACACTCCTTGGGAAAAGGGTAAAAACCCAACATGCAAGTCAAAATCCTGTTTTTTGAATCGGTATCACCTCAGACTGGGAAAATAACTACTAAATATAGTTATAATCTAACAAAGCTAATTATAACCAGATGAAATAATAGACACCTCGGTGATGCTGCAAATCAATACTCTGTCCTAGACAATATCTCAGAGGGAAAAAAAAAAAAAAAAAAGGAAGAAAGAAATAATATCAAAGACTTAAAGTTAACCTGGTTTGAGAAGGTGCGGGTGTGTGAAGGGGCTGGGCTGACCCAAGTACCGGTTTGGGATCTTCTTCTGCTGGACAGGCTGAAGGGAAAATCGACGGAAAGCCCATGACTTGCAGACTAGAGGAAAAGAAACGCATCATGTCAAGGTAAAAGACTTTTCCAAATACCAAATCACAGATCTATACCACATTTATCTGACTCCTAATAGCATTTACTCAACCTCTATCACAATATTCCTCCTTAATTTTTCAGCTTGTTGCACGTTCATTTGCTCACTGTACACAACTCAACTAATGATCAAATATCTGTAAAATAGATAAAAGAAATCAACATACTTTAACACTGAAAAAAACAGCTAGGAAGCCCAGAGAGCTCTCCCCGAGGGAAGCAAGGGCCTGAAGCACCACAATCACCCAGGCCACCTGCGTATCAGCATGTCTTATTACACCCTCCAAAGGCATCTAACAAACAGTGTTTAAAGCCTTCCTGTAAAAAAAAAAATTAAAAAAATCTAAAAATGCCACGAAGAAACCATCAAATACCATAGCTTTTACAGCAACATAAAGTTTTTTTGAAAGGAAAGATACTCAAGATTTCCCACTTTGTTGTGCATCTAGCTTACTGGCAGATACCTTAGCCAAACTGGAAACAATTCCTAGGGAGCAGGGTTATGCATCCCATTTCCAATCCCACAAAACAGTTTTGCACAAGAAGTGTGCACTCAGAAGCTGAGGGAGGGCACAACAGGACATAAGATAAAAGTAAATATCATTAAATATGTTTCCAATATTAATATATTCCCAACTCTGGATTTCTCAGCCACACTTGCAACTGAAGTACTGCTTGTGTCTACACACAAACTATCAAACACATGGAGGAAGATGCTAATCAGCTTCCTAGTATCTAAGAGGTGATGTTTTGGAGACTTATCGTTTTTTATGTCACTTCATCTTATGGCAGGCACACGGCAATTTCTGCTGCTGTGGCACAGTACTGAATTCTCAGTAGAAGCGATATTCTCTTCTTCAAAGGCATAAGCAAATGTAAAGCTGTAGCACTCGGACATAAGCCAAACAGCTGCCCACCTTTCAGGAACCTGGGCTAAGTATGTACATGCAGAGACTATGTTTTCTGAGGAAACCAACATGATGATCTACTGCACACAGATTATTATGCAGGCTATGTGGTTGTCATAGCTTAAAACATACCATCTGTTTCAGTAGGTGATGTCTGACTGGCCTAACAGTGAGGAAATTTAAGTGCTTATGTTTAATTACAGCTTCTGGTGTGGTCTGAGCTGAGACAGTTTTCCCCGTCCCCACCTATCTACGGCGGGGACACCTCGCATCTTAGGTACGTCCTACCAGAGTGCACACTGGCACCGAATAAAGCGGGGTTTTGAACACAGCGGGAAGCTTTCCAGGCTGTCGCTTTATTAGTAGCACTTTTCAACTAGCCACTCTTGCCTCC